AGGGAAAGAAGTGCAAATACTGCGGACGTAGTCACAAACCAGGCATGCGTAACTGTCCTGCGGCCAACGTCACCTGCAACAAGTGTGGCAAGCGAGGGCATTTTGCAGCGGTCTGCATGTCAAACAAAGTGGAAAGACACGAAGAAAGAGCCCGGCCAGTAGAGGATGAGCCTGATGAGTATGAGCATGCAAGTCGCATGTACGACTCCGCTTTCGCCGTCAGTAGCTCGGCACTCGCAGGCGACAAGACATTCCAGACTACACTCAAAGTCAATGGTGAGCTGTGCACTGGACTGTTAGACACAGGTGCAACTCGGACGATCCTCACTGATGATGTGATCAAGCCCACGCGCAAGAGTGACCGCTTGCTGAAAGCGTACAATGGCGGTGTCGTAGAGACTTTGGGCATGGCTGACGTCCACATTTCACATGGTGGCAAGAACGTGAAGTGCAGTTGTTTCGTGGTAGCAGCCAGTCAGCACTCCGTTCTCTTCGGACAGGATGTCATCAAGGAGCTGAACCTCCTGTCACAAGCAAACGTGGTGAACGTGTCACCCATCGAAATCTCTCTGGAAGACGGTTCAAAGCCTCTAGCCCAGCCACCACGACGCCCAGCTTTCAGTATCCGGGCTGACATCGAGACCGAGCTGAAACGGCTGACCAAGTTGGATATCATTGAACCCGTCAAGGAAGCCACGCCGTGGGTGTCACCACTTGTTCCAGTCCGCAAACCGAATGGAGCATTGCGACTATGCGTGGACTACAGAGAACTGAATAAGAGAGTTACACGTGAGCGCAACGTTCTTCCAACCGTTGACGAGATCACAGCTCAGCTTGATGGCGCAGGGGTCTTCTCAGTTCTGGATGCGGAATCTGGATTCCATCAGCTACTCTTGTCAGAAGAAGCAAGGCCTCTAACGACTTTCTCATCGCACTGTGGCCTGTTCCGTTTCAAGCGTTTACCTTTCGGTATTGCATGTGCGCCTGAGATTTTCCAGCGAGTGGTGTCCGACATTCTGGAAGGCCTGCCAGGAGTCATCGTCTACATCGACGACATCCTAGTGTTTGGCTCCAATCAAGCAGAACACGATGCACGGCTAGAAGCAGTCAAGCAGCGACTGCGAGCAGCTAACCTCCAACTCAACTGGACCAAGTGCCGACTGAACCAGGACCGTGTGAAGTATCTGGGACATTGGCTAAGTGCGACCGGCTTGTCCCCAGATGATGACAAGTTACAAGCCATCCAGGAGCTGGCCCCTCCGAAATCTATCTCTGATGTGCGACGGTTCCTGGGGATGGCTACGTACCTTGGAAAGTTCATTCCGAACTTGGCCCAGATCACGGCTTCTCTGCGCAGGCTAGCAAAGCGTGATCCCTTCAGTGTGGATGATGAAGTCCTGCAGGCATTCACCTCAGCAAAGGCTGGTATAGCGTCAGCTTTGCAAGCGTTGGCATTCTTTCAACCAGCATTGGACGTCCCTACTGCTATCAGCTGTGATGCATCGCCAGACGGTTTGGGAGCAGTCCTGTGGCAGAAGAATACCAGTGGCTGTTGGGTACCAGTGACATGTGCCAGTCGCTCTCTATCAGATGTTGAGTCACGCTATTCTCAGCTGGAACGAGAGATGCTGGGAGTGGTATTCGGCCTGACTCGCTTTCGGCAGTATGTACTAGGCCGAGAAGTGCAAGTGTTTACGGATCACAAGCCGCTTATTTCTATCGTCCAGAAGCCGTTCGACGAAGTGCCACCGAGGCTTCAGAGATGGCTGGTCGCATTGATGCCCTATCGCTACAGCTTGGTGTTTGTCCCTGGCCAGCAGATGGTTTGTGCTGACACCCTCTCTCGAGCTCCTCTACCTGATCGCACAGCTTCACCTGCAGAGGCACGTTCAATGGCGGAATTCGTTAGTCTCATTCTCGAGGCTTGTCCGGTTCGTTCCAAGGATATTCGCCAGGCCACGGACTCTGATCCGACACTGAGCAGCGTCCGACAAAGAGTGGGCACATCAGTTTGGTCAGGGTGCATCCAAACGGAAGAGCCTTACTTCCTGCTACGCCATCAGCTGACAGTCATTGAAGGGATTGTCATGCTAGACAATCGCTACGTCATTCCAGAAGAGCTCCGCCCAGCGGTGCTGCGACTAGCACATGAAGGTCATCCAGGCATCGATGCATTCCGGGATACCCTTCGCGAACGGGTTTGGTGGCCAGGTCTCATGAAGGATGCCAATCTGTTTGCAGAGAAATGCTCTGAATGCTGGCGTAAACGCTCCAATCCAGCGCAACAGCTCCTCCCTACAGAGATAGAAGGTGTCTGGCAGAAACTGGCCATTGACCTTGTTACCATTGAGGGAGCCACGTTCCTGTCTGCTATTGATTATGGTTCCCGCTGGCCAGAGCTTCTACCACTGTCCAATACTACGACAACGGGTGTGATCGACAAGCTGATGGAGTTGTTCGCACGGTTTGGTCTGCCTTCAACACTCGTCTCGGATTGGGGCCCACAGTTTGCATCCACTGAGATGTCCAAGTTTCTCGCTCAGTTGGGTGTTGAGCATTGCAAGTCTAGCCCCCGGTATGCCCGCTCTAACGGTATGGTGGAGCGACTACATCGTCTGGTGAAAGAACGAGTTGCCAGCCTGAGACCTCATCTACCGCTACACCGCCGCATCACTCAAGTCTTGTTCGACATTCGCAATTCGCGGCACCGGATGCTAGGTACATCGCCGAGCGAAGCGTTGTTCAGCAGAGTCATTCGGACACGGGTTCCAGCATCCATCACCCCACAGATCGTCAACCCATCTGAGCAGATCAAGGCGAAAGCAGCAATGGTTGAAGGTCATGACTCACGCCACGGTGTCCGCAAGTTACCCCATTTGCCATCAGGTACGCGGGTAGTGCTCCATGATGGGTACAGCGACCCTCGAAAAGAATGGAAGGTAGTAGAGCAGTATGGTCGTCAGGTTGGGGTCACTGATGGGTCACGCATACTGCTCCGGAACCGTCAGCATGTTACCGAGTTTGTAGCACCAGCAGCAGCAGCAGCGGAGAAAGCACCCATGAGTGAACCTCTGGCACAGTCAGAGAGGGAGCATGTGCCAGAGCCAGTGTGTGCTCCAGCACTGCCAGTGTCCGACCCAACAAGCCTTCCGTCAGCGAGCAGCGCAACATCCAGGCCCGAAGCTCCGGTAACTGCGCTCACATTGCCGTTGTCTCCTGCAGCTTCACCGGAGACGACAGCATCACCTGCAACACCGGCCTGTATGTCACTGTCACCGCCAACATCTCGTCCAAGTGTATTCCGCGAGGGCGTACAGACCAGAGCTGGCCGTCAGATCAAGCTTACAGAGAAAGCACGTGAAGCTGACATCTGAGTCGTCGAGTCATGCATTACCAAATGAGTGGCTTCAATCGCTACCAGATTGGCGTTGTTTAGAATCTTCTAACTACCTTGTGAATATTTAGATTTTTCTTTATTTTTTCCCCTTATTGGTCGAGTTTGCATTGTAACTCAAACTCATGGTGTTTTTGCCTCAAGTTTTGAGTCAGATTATTTCTAATAGTTGCAACACTTCCCGTCTCTCTTTTACTCCAACACATGTACGTACATTCCTCTGCAAGCTGCAGGATACGGATGCAAGTGTTTTTGTTTTGTTTTTGTTTTCCTTTTTCTCTTTCTTTTTTTTTTCTTTTTGAGGGAAATCGTGTAGATATCGTACATGCAGTTGTATGTAGTACTATGTACGCACGTGCAGGCATGCCGTGCTTGTACCGCTTTATGTATGGCACGAGAGAGATGACATGGCGCACTTCTGATAGAGAACTAAAGAAGATCTGTTTAGCACAATGGCTGTCTTGTGAGTGACTGAATAGATGTCTACAGTAACCTGACTTGAATAGAAGCCTACAGTCCATTTCAAAACTATAGACGCGTACCTAGGCAAAACCCGTTATGCCAGCATCTATACCACATAAAATCTGTCATCACTTTGTGCATAATTTTTTCCAAACTGGGCGTCTGTTATCCAATCGTTTAGAAACTATGTGAGAGTAATTGTGGAGCGGACCTGAGCAATATTCCGAAAACTATTCTCAAAAAGTTCCAGCCAAATTTGAAATATTTCAAAAACACTGCACGTCTATAGTTTTGAAATGGACTGTAGCACTGATATCGGCTTATACGGCCGTAAGCACCTGCTTTTATACGCGACATTACGGCAATCGCTTCTACAGTACTGGGAATTTCTCCTTTCATATTTGAGCCGTCAGATGCGAAAAGGGTGCTTATGGCATATTTTGGTCAAATTGAGATAAGGACTCAAGCAAACTCTATACGCTTTTATGCTTCACCTCCAAAAAACCGGACTCAAAAATCCAAACCCATCATGAAGATATCGTCAATTTAGGTCAGGAGACAAAAGAATTTCGTTCAGAATCAGAACGGAGCTCGTGAGAACTGCGCCACAAAAAAGGCAGTTTCTTTTGTATGTAAATCCGCCGTGCTTTGGAGTTTCAGGCCGGTTGAAGTATCTACGAAAAGCTGGGAATCTCAGCAGTGCGCTAGTGTACATACCAGCGCCGGGCCGGGGATGCACACTCACACATCATCCGTATCCCGCAACGATCGAAAAAATGACGTCACATCAAGATTCACTCATGCATGTGACAGGTACTTGACAGCCTGTCACTCTGACGCACTTTACTCTATTTGCTCTGTGCTGCCATAAGCACCCTTTTCGCATCTGACGGCTCATTTGGCAATTTCCACCTGCATTATTTTGAATGATAACCAGGAGGTACGTACGCATTTTCGCTGCTTGTGCCACAACGTAGAGAACCTCATATACGCGAAAAAATCTGGACCTAAAACACACGAAACCGTAGACTCTAGCCCAGACACCTGCACTCTACATGACTTCTCCAGGCTTCACGTACAGCAGAACGCCTCTGTGGACTAAATCATCGAGCAAGAGGAGTGAGAGAGGACTGAGAGTACTCACTGTCACAGAAAGGTACCGACGTGAGATTTCCATCAGCTGCACAAGTTGGCGTGGCATCTCCCACGACCATCAGACCCCCGTTGCACGAATAGGTGGCAGTGTGTGCATACTGCACCTCCGTCCTGTCCCTAGTACCATTAGCAATAGCAGGAACACTGCAGTTTACAGCTGCACATAGAAAAAGAACAAGAAGAATTGCTACACCCTTATGAATAAGGTTTATTCGAGTTCCTCTTTAAAACTAAAAGCCAAGCAGATGATCCTCTAAATCCTGGGTATACGTGTGTGTGTGTGCATGCGTCTGTATGTGTGTGACTCCGCGAAGTGCGATTTGATGGCTGTTGGCGTTCCTCTGGAGCAGCTTGGTGACATCATCCAAGATCAACAGGGATGGCGGGTCACCTGCCGTGATGCTGTCGACGCTATTGTCCAGTCCTGCATGGAGCCTCTGGCGAACCCCCTCATCTCTGGCACCTGTGCTGCGTGTGCGCGCAGTTTTCGTTGGCCACAGGATAGTACGAGGCACAAGTGTAACGCTGTTTGCGCAGCCCGCGTTCTGAACCTGACGTTCCCAACCCGGTGGACAAAACTCCTCCTGGTCTTCCCCATATGGGACCACATAGTCAGTCATTCGAGTGGAAGAAGGAAGGAAGGAACGAAGTAAGGGGTGTGCGTGTGTGTGTATGTGTGTATGTGCGTGTGCGCGCGCGCGTGTGTGTGTCACTGTGTGTGTGTGTGTTTATGTGGGCATGTGTGTGCGTGTGGGTGTGCGCGCACGTACACACACACGCAAACACACGCACACACCAGAGCATATGCAAAGCCTTCGCTTACCAACAGCAGATGATGACGATGTTGTGAAGATTGTGGTCATAAACATGATTGCTGGAACAAGGGCCGTCCATGTTCCCATATCTGTAGGTTCCACACACACACAGCATGCGGAGAATAAGACACACAGGCGCACTCACACACAACCATGCACCCCCCCCCCCCCCCCACACACACACACACACATGCAAACACACACACACACACACACATGCCCCCCCCCCCACACACACACAGTGACACACATGCAAACACACACACACACGCACGCGCGCGTCCGTGTGCTCATACAATAACATTGCACGGCGACTTTTCTATACATGAAAGATTATTTGAAAAGGCGACGAGGAGACAACAACTTTATTAATGCGATTAATAGTATAAGTGAAGCGGACATTACAAAATGATGAATGAGAATACATGTATCTAAAATGGTTGTTCCTAATCGATTTTCTTGAGATGACCGGACTGAAGGTGAGACCACAACGAAAGGGTCAGCCATTAAGAAACACCTCTTGTCTAGTAGCCAATGCCGCTCAGTGTATGATGATTCATGCTTCACTGTTTTGTGTCGTGCTCGTAGGTTTCGTGAACTTAAGGTATTAGAAGCTGTTTTCATCCGTAAACACAATCCTAATCTATGCATTCAGAAAGAAAATGTCACAAAACTGAGACTCTTCACCTAGCATTCACACACGTATTCATTCGCATACACCTACACCTCACAGTTCCTCACTCTATCACATTCACCTGCTTCCACGCCTTCATTTCACTCACCTTTTGTAGTAGCTCACACCGTCGGAAAACTCTCACATCTTTTCTTCTAATTTCTTTCGTCTTCTCTCCCACTTTAGTTTTTTTTTTCACACCTCACCTTGTATACTTCCCACTATCCGATAACCTATAAGTAGTTTGTTTCTCCGTATAGCCTCTATTGTGAGACGATTTTCCCTGATGATAGTCTCAAGAAAATCGATTAGGAACAACCATTTTAGATACATGTATTCTCATTCATCATTTTGTAATGTCCGCTTCACTTATACTATTAATCGCATTAAGAAAGATTATTTGTTTTTCTGCAGCGTTTTCTTGGGTTTGCATTTCAAGATGTTAGAGAGATTCTGCTACACGTGAAACCTAGATAAATCACGTAGAGAGCAGGTGACTGGGTTAGAGTCTACTGCACGGCATGTTTTGGGTCCAGATTTCTACGCATAGATGGGGTTCTCTACGTTATGCCGCACGCAAAGAAAACGGGTGCGCATATATTGGGTATCATTCCAATGCAGGCAGAAAATCGCCAAATATGGAAGGGGAAAATCCCAGTACACATTCCAAGTGATTTCTCCACGTGGAAGTAGAGCAGAAGCGCCAGAAAAGGTTTTTTAGTTACATTTAATACGGGAACGTGAAGAGAGTTCCCGTGATTCTTTGTGTCGCATTCCCCTAATGTAGAGCGGAACATCACTAATTAATTGCACATTCACAGAGTGTCATTGCCGGCTTTGGCGAATAGAATGCGACCTCAGCTCAGCTTATTTACCAGCACGTTGTGGAGTCTGGACTAAGGTCGAGGCTGCAACCGGGGCCTTTGGTTCCTGAAGCACAAAATAGCCTAATATCAAGAGTCCACAGTCCACCACAGAACACACTTCCCCTACTCGTGATGTCACACTATGAAGTTCAACACGGATTTCGCTGTCCCAGATCTGATCAGTGAAGTTGCGCCCTCGGGGGGAGCGGGGGGGGGTCGCCACTCGCCCGTTTGCACATGTTTCAAGACGGCCTCTTGAATGATTCTCGTTTTGACCTTACCTTGTTTGTTTACAAACTTAGAAGTTGCGACTTCGGCGGTAATAGTCATGAAGTTGATTGTTCCAACTAGGAACACACGCTTCTTACCGAACTTGATGCTATTGTTCTACTGACACTGATAATTCTCTCCCTCTGTCTAATCGCGTTCTACTCTGCTTCTCCGTCTCTCTTCTATTCTGTTCCGCTTCGAACGTGTGGTTATTTCGAGCTGCTCTCATGATAAATTATATGTATTTTTGAAAACCCGTTGTACCCGCGATCATGCGCTTGTACAACTGCGCTGTGCTATATGACTGTGCCAGGCCTATGAGTATGATTATGATTCATGCTCGCACTATAATGCCCTTTTGTGTCATGTGCACATGGTGTATGTCGTGGCGCAAGCGCGCTGCGCCTTTTCTGGCCCTTTTTTGCTTCCTTTTGCAGTTTTGGTTTTTGAGTTATGCCGGTTATGGTTGAAGTGCTTTGCGAGGAGAAATCCAGAACGTCTAGTAATGGTGTGTTGTCCCATTTGCGTTCGGAGAGTGTGTGCCTGTGCACGTGTATCAGATTTTGAATTCTTGCCTGTAACAGGGGGGTTATAGACTTTTGCTAATACCGATATGCATAGGATTTCACAGAAAATGATACAAACGCTACGAACCTACACGAACCCTTGTACACAACTAGCAGCACCGGCGGCCAGCGTTGCCTGGCCGAACGTGGCATGCGGGTGAAGCAAGTACATGAACAGCACACGTGCTCAGCACGTGGTGGTGGCTACACGATTCGCACGCTTCGCGTGCTCAGTGCTTCTGTGGCTGCTTCCGCTAGCTACACGATTCGCACGCTTCGCGTGCTCAGTGCTTCTGCGGCCGCTAGCTACACTGTTCGCACGCTTCGCGTGCTCAGGGCAGCGCTGCTCCGCAGCGCTTCTGCGTGACACACACACAAACACACGTCACAGGTGCCTCTTCTTTATAAGTAAAGATGTCATGTACATGTGTCAAACGCGGTACATGTGAGCTCAGACTTCCCCCTGGCATCAAAATAAACTATGAACTGCGCCATTCGGCTGTTGAACAAACTGTCCTCCTCTATGCGCCCTAAAGCTGACCATTGCTACCAAGAGTACATAACCCCCCCCCCAGGGTGTCCAACAACTATCCAGCTGTGCATAGGGCCTTGGTCGGGCATAGTCGGATCTTCTGATGTCATGCGTACACTTCACACCAGCACAAGGCCTGTCTCGAGGCAGGGCACCGTTGTTTCTGATCCGAGAGTACCCGCGACTCCCCAGGCACCCCTCAGATGTGTACGGTATCATGACGCAAAGATCCGATGACGCTCGAGTCTTGGCAAGACCCTATGCACAGCTGGATCAGACGTTGCACACTCTGGGGGGTTATGTACTCTTGTTGCCACCCTCAGACCAGGTAGACCAAATAAAAAGTAATAATTTGGAGCCCCGAGTCTTTCACACGAGATAATACCGTAAAGTACTGCCAGAGCGCAGCGTCTCGCGAGAGCGCCCCACCTCGCAAGAGCGCCCCACCTCGCGAGAGCACCCTACCTCGCAAGAGCGCCCCACCTTGATTTTACAGCCAAAGGAAGAACATCGTATGGCGGAGTGCTACGAAGTTCATGCGTTGTGAGAACTTTAGTGCACTAAGGTCACACTTGGCATGTTAAAATAAATTATGTGGAGCTCGCATCCGCTCAAAAGGTAGACTGGGTACGGATTGACTGCACAACGCGCAATATGTGTACAAGGTCCGTCTCGTGTGACCTTCAGACAGGAAACCACCTCCACAAGACGACCGCGAAAGGACGAGATGGTGGGGCGCTCTGGCAGTAATTTACGGTATTATTATTATAGTATTTTGGGGCGCTAAAGTATAGGATTACCTGACAATGGCCTCGTGGCCTCGTGGCCAGTAGGTATGATCTGCCAGCTCCAGCAACCTGATCTACTAGTGCTCCGCCAACTGAGCAATCTTCGGAAAATTCAACTCGAAAGTAGACCTATGCTATGAAATCCTACCCGCAGTACAAAGCAAATTGGCACTCCGGATCAGTTTGAATCACAACACCGTGTAGGAAAAGGTCAGATATGATGAAGACAGCACATAACAAAGTGGAGGATATATTATAGAGGACACTGTTTTACAACTATCGACACAAGGAAGAGAATTATTTTGAAGGAGACGTTCATCTACAAAAAAGTAGTGTAGATATTATCTGTAGATCGAAAAACGTGGTGCTATGCTCCTGACTTGTAAAGTTGTACACGCCCATGTGTATGTAACATGCTGTCGAAACAAATAAGGGAATCTGTACACTGTAGCGTGACCTCTCCGCATGACGTCAACACCAGCAGGTTCGTTTTTGGTCGGGGTCTAGCCTGTCACCCCGTGACCCCGAACGTTCAGAAGTTCTGCACAACGAAAATTCGAACGAAGTTTCGCGACAGGCCTTGCGAAAATGTGTACATTTTCTTAAGTGCACGTACGACATGACCCAATCTCACGAAACTGCCTACGAAAGTTCATTTCGCGTTCCCTGCAAGTTTCGCGTCCAAAGTTGCGAAAGTTCGTGCGAAGTTTCTCACTTCGTGACGTAGAGCGAAAGTTCGTACACATTTTCGTTTTGCAGAACCTCTCTATTAATTATTTCGTGCCCTGCCGCATATGCGGATGCCGCCGCGCACTACTTAAATTTGCCGCAGTCTGACGGTTTATAGATTTGGGGTTTTCCCGGTTTCGCGTCTGTCGCATCGCGAGCGGGATTCACAGAAGCTTTTTTGCGATGCGACACGCGATGCGACAGACGCGAAACCGGGAAAACCCCAAATCGCAGCCATGTCGCACCCCACGCAACTGCCGCAACTGGGCCATCGCAGGCCATCGCAGAAGTTGAGCTTGGCTCAACTTTTGCGATGCGATGCGATGCGACAAGCGATTTGGTGTACGATTTTGACCTTTTCTATAGCAAAGTTGTACAAAGGTGCAAGAGTTGCCTATAAATTTTTACAAGTTGTGTCAAACCGCGCGAATATCATGGTGACGTACCCAAATCAGCAAAACTTTGTCGCATCGCTGACTTCTTCTGTGAATGGTATTTCGCGAGTTCGCATCGCACGCATCCATCGCAGATCGCGTCGCATCGCGTGTCGCATCGCAAAAAGCTTCTGTGAAATACCATTCACAGAAGAAGTCAGCGACGCGACAAATTTTTGCAAAGTTTTGCTGATTTGGGTACGTCACCATGATATTTGCGCGGTTTGGTACAACCTGTACAATGTACAAATTTATAGGCAACTCTTGAACCTTTGTACAACTTTGCTGTTCTATTATTAAAGCCCAGCATGATGAGAAATATGCTCAGGCTGTTCTCTCGAAGCTGCCAACCACTGGCAGAGAGCTACAAAATCACATTGATATGCAGACAGAGCATTCTGAAGTATAATTACAGAATGGCTCAGACCACGCAGTGGTTGCCAGCTATTCTGGATTATATGAATAATGTGATGTCGAACATATCAATGTCCCAACCCTGACCCTCCCTGTGTTATAATGCACATGATATGCTTGTTCCGAGGCTGGCTATTCAAAAGGCCGAAGAACATAGAGGGAACAAGGGCTTTTATTAACAAAACCTGGTGTTCCACGCATGCGTCAACACCAAAGATTCAAATAAAATCACAAAATTCATGAATTTTCACTACAAAAAAGCTATCAAGAGAGGAAACTAGGGGTGCGTTTGGTTGGTACGATCTAGAACAGGATCGAACAGCTGGTGCACATGGAGCAGCCTCATGCCAACCAAACGCTACTCCAGAAACAGAGCACATTTTTGTGGAAAAATGTGCCAAACTTGGTGCATTCTTCAAAATGTGTATGGGTCACCATGGTCACTTTGTACGGTACGACGAGTCCAACCCAAAAGCGTATGCACGTGATCATTTGGGACCAAAATCGATGTTCCCGCCAGGTTTCACTGTGAAAAAGTGAAACTGCTCGGTCTGCTCCGGCCTCGAGGCCGGAGCAAGCAGAACATGTTCTGGCCGACCCAGAACAGGTGCAGTCCCAACCAAACGCGCTGTTCTGGTGAATCCTGTTCTAGTTCGTACCAACCAAACGCGCCCTAGGCCAAACACATTGATATGCTCGACATCACATTCTTCATAATTATAATCCAGAATGGCTGGCAACCACTGCGTGGTCTGAGCCATTCTGTGACTAAAAACTGAAAGCAAGAGTACATAACCCCCCCCCCCCCCGCCCCCCCCCCCCCCCCCCCCCCCCCAGAGTGTGCAACTCCCACATACTATATGTAGTACCAAGAGTACATAACACCTGGGGTTATGTACGCGAAGGACTAAAGGGACGCTGGTCTAGGAGTGCGGCAGGTTTTGCACCATGGCAACCAGGAGTGCGCGCACGCGACAGCCACCATGTACCAGCGCAAAGCGTTGTGTAGGCTGCGGAGATCCGGAGAGCAGGGAGAGCGACGACACTTCGCCGTGACCCAGGTGAGGGGCTGAGCGCATACATCTCGTAACTCAAAAGTCAAAGACAGTGCAGAAGCGAAAAAAGCACTGTCTTTGAATGAACAAGACGTTGGATTTATAGCTCCTGAAAGTCACTCTACTTGGATTGGTTGGAACTAGCTTCTTTGCTAACTGTAATGATTTTGTGGAGGAGCGGTTTGAATTCGTTACTTTTCACGACAGCCTGACGCCAGCCTGACTTCTGGCTTGCAGTAGAGCTCTCCTTCCGATCCTGTCAATGGTCTCAGATTTGAAAGAAAAATACTCGAACAGTGATATTATTATTCTATACATCGCTTGTGGAAGGAAAGGGCGAGTGCTGGCAATCACTCAGTCTTCGCAAGTAGAGAATGTCCCTGCTGATTACCAGCTGAGAGACAGCTATTCTGTGCTGTGAAACGAAGGGACGATTCTTGAAGTGGAAGAACAATCGTACTAGATGTGCTGATCTACTTGTATGCAATGTCACCCACAGTGTGTACAAACCTGTAGGCTAAAGCCGGTGTTACACTGGGGTTTTCTGGATCTTCAAAGCACCAGAAGTAGTATGTGTACTATTGAAAGCGCCCATTCCGTCTTGGAGGTGTGCATCACATTGACATTGTGCATGCGGTCTTTTACTAGTACATGTGTTTGGTCAGGGTCTCATCTGTGTGTGTGTCTGTCTCTCTGTTTGCTTGTGTGTCGGTGTGTGTGTGTGCGCGCGTGCGCGCGCGCATATGTGCTTATGTGTCTTCATGTGTGAGCAGTGTGTACTTTGAATGTGCCGTGCACAACTGTTTTGTGTGTGTATGCGCTTGCAATTGCCTTGCATGCGCTTTGAACATGTGTTCGTGTACGTGCTCCGCAGGACTTGTGATTTTGCCTGACCTTTGAAACCAATTGGACTGCCTGCCCTGGCAAGGGACTCTTATTGCCTAGCTTGTTGTTATGGCGGCATCAACAGTAGCATGTAACGCCACTCGACCTGTCGTTGCTTCACAGCGGCTGCTTTCTCGCTCCCGCTGTATCAGTTCGGCGTATTGCCCAGCTGCACTGTGTTGAAACAGCATACCGGTGCTCCCTGCTCAGTAGCTGTTGTCAGTACCAGGAACTTGGTGAGTGTAGCGGACACAGGTCGTGGCGAGTACACTGCGTCGCTGGTGACACACCATCACTGGCAATGCCCCGCGTCACGCAGTGCAGCGCGTCACTATTCCGCTCCACCGCGTGTCACAACCGCAGCGTTGCAAGGGCTGCTAGCGCAAGTGCAGCGTCTCCAGCAGGAACAGCGCAGCAACGGTGGCGGAGCACTGAGCCCGGAGCAGAGGTCCCGATTGGCTTCCGCTTGTCATATGCTGTGCGCTGCGATCGGGTCGTTGCTCAGCACCATCCCTTACTTGCTGCAGCAATGTTCCCGTTACAATGCTTACCTGGGTGTAGCCAGCAACGGACTGCGATCTAGTGTATCCATATTCTCCACGTGTACATTGGCGCTTGATGACATCATCAAGTCACTGCTTACGTCATCGAATACTAAGAGAGATTTCGCACAGGCTGTGTCAGCACTTGAAGAACATTCAGAGCTGCTCAGGGATCACGCGCAGCTTTTTAAAGTCATCTACGCTGTCGTGCAAGTGGCATGGACAAGACTGGCGACCTGATCGTTGATCATACTCAGTTTCCGGACGACTTTCTGGACACTGCTGAGAGTATGGAGCGGAGAAGCTTCTATGGACGGTGCCTCGGCCTTCATGTAAGTCACTGTGAGAAGTAAGGTGGCATTTGTATGTGTGCTCTGCGACCGTAGAGTACAATAGCTGTCCGTGGTCTTTTGGATACTCCTACTCGATCCCCCTTTGGTGCGTCCATGGAGCTATAAAGCCGAGACCTCTGGTCGGCTGAGCCCCACCACCACATGCACACTCCATTATTCACCCCAGTGTCTGGAGATAATGTGGATTTTGTAGAGAAAAAAAGAAGAAAAAAACATCCGAGTTTCAAAACAAACAAACAAAGGTGTTAGCATGCCATGTGCGGTTGACGTTGACGATTTGTTCTGTACCATGCTCAACACTCTCTTTTTGCTGCAGAGTGCCAGCTCTGAGCCTTCTAAGGCAGTCATCATTCACTTCCATGGTGGAGGGTTTCTGGCGCAAACGTCACAGTCACATGTGCTAGGTCATTGGAAACAAATGGGTGTGCTTTGCTGCCACCATGCTCCATCCATTTCTCCGCTGCCGTAGCCAATAAAACAAGATACTGTACCATGTGTGTAACACGGATGTGCACCAGGTTTTCATTTGGCCCCATATACAATAGTACAGTACTGCTCCATGACATCCAGTCGCGTCACTCAAGTACGTGCCGGGCGTTGCGCAGCCCTAGACCTGCGAACACTGGGCTGCGAAATGGTGCAAGGCGCAAACTTGACTCACGTGACCGGATTTCATTGAGCATCACTGTACATAATATTAGTATACCCTATGCATGTGTCTTCCTTGCGGTGTATTGTTCATGCAGAGCTATCTAAGCCACTGGGCCAACCAGCTCAACGTTCCCGTGGTGTCCGTTGACTACATGACGGCCCCCGAGCACCCGTACCCACGTGCCGTCAACGACTGTTTCTACGC